CTATCTCTGCCAAAGGGCTTTTAAAGGAATGCCAAGGGGTGGCACATCAGCCCTGCCCCCAGCACAGCCAAGTGCTGACCGTCTCAGACACCTGCACTCAGGCCCATGGTCTAATCATCCTCTTGATGCAGACCTGCTGGGTAAAGCCACTAGAAACCTAAATGGGCCCCAACACATTCTTTCACAGCCAAATATATCACTCCATTTTCACCTATATTGCCTGTCTTCCTCTTGGTGGATGGCAAGGCCCACAAAACCACAGCTTACTATGAAACGCCAATAAACCTGTGACCTATTCTGATGTCTGTAACTTGGGATACAATGTAGCTAGAAAAGAACATTTGCTGGAGGTAAGGGAAGAGGCACTAACACTGTGGACCACAGGGATCAGGTGGACTATCTGGCCAGAAGAACAAAACTGAATTCTGGAGTGGCTGACTGCCGTGTGCCCTTTTGCTATGTAACCTGCTGTCTGGACACGAGATGTCAGTTTTCTGGGGTGTTAACCTGCTGACTTCTTAGCTCACGAGCCTCAGAACAAGTGCAGTTCTTCCAACCCTATCTCTGCTCACTGGCATTTGTGATGACGACATTACAAACTCCAGTATTCTGGTCACAGAAGGTGTTGTCAACAAAACCACAAAGAAACCACACATGGCCAGCTGTGTGCTCTCCAAAAGCAATAATTAAGTAAGAAAGAGCAAGCAGAACAGAGTCTTATTTAGTTTTTTTTTTCCATTCCAGTATCACCAGTGGCAGGAAAACAATGAATTTCTACACTGTAGGGAAGCAAAGGTTGAAGCCTAAAAATGAAAAAGAAAAAGAAAAAAAGAAAAGTAATGCTTAACAGGATGGCTAGCATCATACCCACATCATGGCCTGCAGTATCAAATATCAATGCTTTGAAAGCAAGAAATGAGCCCATAAACAGAGACGTATTCCATACAAAATCCAGTAGCAGTGAAAATTTCCAATGCACCAATAAAAGCTAAGTATTGGGCTAGGGAAATGACAGAGAGGCTAAGAGAGGGAACCATTCTTGGAAATGACCCAAGTTGGTTCCCAACATCCACAACGGGGTAGCTGACAACTGCCTATGACTCCAGTTCCAGGGGATTTGATGCCCACAGGCACCTGTGCCCGCATGTACAAACCACACACAGATACATGCATACACAATTTTTTTTCAGTAAAATCTTTTTTAAAAACATTGATCTGTGTTCCTTTTGTGTGTATAAGTGTTTTGTCTGCATGTATTTCTGTGCACCACATGCACACCTGGTACCTGCAGAAGCCAGAGGAGGGGATCAGAACCCCTGGAACTAGAGTTACAAATGGTTGTTAGCTGCAGTGTGTGGACTGGGAACCCAGATCCTCGGCAAAAGCAGCCAGTGCTCTCAACTGCTGAGCCATCTCTCTAGCCCTAAAAATAAAATGATTTTTTAACAAAGAAAATGTCAGCTGACTATTTGAGTGTGGGGGTCTGCTCTGAAGTGTGGTTGATATACCAGATGTCACACTGTATTAGTTTTCTATTGCTATGATAAAACACCATGGCCAACACAACTTTAGAAGAAGGAGTTTAATTGGGCTTACCGTTTCAACAGGTCAGAGTCCAGGATAGTGGAGCAGAGTCATGCCAGCAGGAGCAGCTGGGGGCTCTCATCTCAAACCACAAGCAGGAAGAAGAACTAGCTCAGATTTAGTCTTTTGAAACTTCACTGGGGGCAAGCTTGGGACTTGAAAAGCCTCCCGTCATCCCCAATGTACCTTCTGCCTCCTACTTGTGGATCAAGATGTGAGCGCTCAGCTGCCTGCTACGAAGCCTTCACTTGCCACCATAGACTTTAACCCTCTGGTAATGTAAAACCAATTAGTTCTAAGCTGCCTTGGTCACGGTGTTTTTAATCACATGGTGCTCTTATCACATAAAAGTGGCTTCTTCTAATAGAATAATTAGAATATTGTATAATAATAGACTATCATAATAATTAGAAATTAAATTAGTTGCATTCAAGTTCTTTGTAACTGATGATACATGATTAAAGGTACAATGTAACATGTTGTATAATATTTTAAGTTATGTTGCATTTGTTTATTCTGTGGAATATTTGTTTAATGATGCAAAGATGCAGGCAAAAGGTAGACAGGATCATCTAAATTGAGAAAAGCTGGCTAGAAATAAGCCAGGCTAAGGCTGGGCATTCATAAGAAAGAATAAGCCTGTGTGTGTGTGATTTATTTGAGAGCTGGGTGGCGGGCCCCCAAAGAGCAGAGCCAAAAAAGTAAAAAAAACAACCAACAATAGTAATGTTTGATGTATATTTATGCTGTATATGGGTTAAATAAAACATAGACATGGTCTCACGGCATCTTTATGTTGAAGGCACTTAACATGTACTCCTTCCGGAATTTTGTGACATAAGATACAGTATGGTGGTTCCTAAAAATAAATAAATAAAATTAGAAACCACCATATGAGAGTCAATGAGACGGCTCAAATGGGTAAAGGCACTTGCTGCCAAGTCTGATGGTCTGAGTGATCTCGGACATCACCTGGTGGAAGACCAGAACCAACTTCCAAAAATTGCACTCTGATTTTACACGCAAGCCATGGCAAAGAGGTACATGCACATATACTCATACATACAAAAGGCTTTTTAAAGTGTATTTACAAAGAACTACCATATGCTCCAGCAACCTGTTTTTGGGTGTCTACCCAGTAGGCTAAGAGAAAGCCTAGTCCCAGGAATAGGTTACTACTTTGGGGGTCATTGGTAAGTCCCAAAGGCACCCTAAACTTTATAAACTATTGTCAGTGTCCTTGGCTCCCCTCTCAACTTGAAGGGAAGACTCTATTGCTGATGACATCATACACTTGAATCATAGGACATGAAGTCGAGCGGATACTAAGCTGGAAGCTTTGCCTCTATTGGCTAGCTTTCATAGGAAGGTGCTGAGCATGCTGCTGGAGGAGAAAAGTGTACTCTCCTGGGGAAGACGTACAAGCAACATTATACGGACTGAGGTGGTTATATTTTGGAGTGTGTGTGTGTGTGTGTGACAAAATGATGTCATGAATTTGAATGAGAGCAAGGGAGGGTTCATGGGGTGGGGTGGGAGGGAGGAAAGAGAAGGGAGGCACAACCATATTACAATCTCAAAAAATGAAATGAACCCTCCCTCTCTCCACATAAAAATAGTCTTTACCCATGACAACACCTCTAGCCTTCTAAATTTGATGTATGGCTCCAGGACTCAGGAGCCAGAGACTTGAGTTGCCCATCTAGGGTCCAGCTGCTGCCGGCCTGGTACTGTGTGTCCAGTGAAGAAAGTCTCTGCTCTAAAGTAAATAGAAACAGCAACAGTTAGCGCCAGCTAGTACTAGGGCCTTCAAGCACTCGATTCCATTGAGCCGCTCAGCTCCTGCCCTCCAGTGAGTGGAAAATTCGGATTCTAGCTCTCAAGCAGGCCCTGGGGATCAGGACCCTCAACCCCCCCCCCCAGGGGTGGGCATCCCCGGTGACCACAGCCCTGCAGAGCCCCGCTTGCTCTTCACGGCCTCCCTCCTTCTGATCCTGGATCCCCGCCTTCTGCCGCTGCCCTTCCTCATCTCACGCGCCACTGTGCCCCAGGAGCTGCTGGTGGTCGCTCCCCTAACCCTGCACCTGTCTTCTTCAACCACAGCCGGTCGCTGCCATTGTTGTTTCCAACTAAGCTGACTGGAGCCACGACCGGCACGAAAAGACCATCTGGGAGAATCCTCTTTATTAGGCCTCATGTTGCCACACCGCGGGGGCAACATGAAAACTAGCCGAACCATCTATTTATGTAGCCCAGAGGAGGACACGGTAAGGGGGTGGTGGTGTTGTGCCCGCATCGCGAGACCCCCCCAAGGAAGACCACCACAGAGCCGATATCTGATGCAAAACACACAAGGGTTTATTTAGAACAAGTAAGCCCGGGCTTGGTGGTGTCCAACACTCTGACACAGCCCTGAGCTCTCAGAATAAGGGGTTTTTAAAGGGAAAAACCACAATCAGAGTGGTACAAGCCTTTGCATCATATGATTGGGTGAGGGAATATAACCTTTGAATTTACTGGTTGGGGGTTACAGTTACCATTTTGGGGCAGGCCTGGACAAGTTCCAGGCTCTGTCCTTGAGCTGCCATGGAGGCTGGCTGGCCTAGCATGTTCACACTGTGCCATGCACATAGCTCTAAGTTGGTGAGGGGTCCCAGACAGTCAACAATTGGCTGAACCTTGAGCAGTCAGAGTACGTGCAGAAAGGGAGCTACTGCAAGAACTATGTCTTTTGTTCACAGCCCTCCCAGAAACTGCTTGCTCAAGTCTCAGGAAACTGAAACTGAGGCCTGATCTCTTGAGAGAAGACTGAGCAGCCTGTTATGGCATCTGCTCGGTCCTTTCCTCGTGTAAATGAATAATTGTATTTGCATCGATCACAACACAGCTTCCAGTTTCACGGCACTAGCTAGCCTCTTACCGCTTCCCCTCCTGTCAGAAGAGCTTCCAGGTCACCTAATGGTCACCAGGGCCTATCTTGCTGGGGTACTGTCTTCCAAAGCCGGCACGGGTGGTCTGCAGTGGTCATGACTGAGCAAGACCTTCTGGAGCAGGAACCATGGCTTCAGTTGCCATTATCTGTTCAGTTGGTGTGTGTCATGGGGCTTTCGAGTGTATACAGCAGGCTGGCTGTCCAGGAGGGGTTGCTCTTTAAAAGCTTCCCAGCTCCAAGCTGCCGGACTTAAGGGAAGGGTCTATCCAAAGGTCTCATCTACCCATTCTTGGGAGTTGCCTTAGGGTCTCTATTGCTACCCCGAAACACCATGACCAAAAAGCAAGTTGGGGAAGAAAGGGTTTATTTGGCTTACACTTCAACATTGCTGTTCATCACTGAAAGAAGTCAGGACAGGAACTCAAACAGGGCAGAAACTGATGAAGAGAGGCCATGGAGGGGTGCTGCTTACTGGCTTGCTCAGCCTGCTTTCTTATAGAACCCAGGACCACCAGCCCATGAATGGGGGCACTACCCACCACGGGCTGAGCCCTCCCCTGTTGATTTCCAATTGAGAAAATGCCTTACAGCTGGATCTCAAAGAGGGATTTCCTCAGCTGAGGCTCCTTCCTCTCTGATGATTCTAGCTTCTGTCAAGTTGACACACAACCAGTAGAGGAGTTTTGCTCGGTCATAAAAAAAAGTTCCACCCAAACCCAACATTTTAACAATGCTCCACCCTGCCCCAGCACTATGGGTCGCTCGCTCTCTGTCCCAGCTCCAGCTAGTGGTAACCTAATCGCCCCTGCAACAGGGCAAAGAGTTCTGTCTGGTACTTAAGGTAAGCAGCCAGGGCAGCAATACTTGCCATAGGAGGCGGTATTTACGGTAACGGGAGCAGACTGCGCGGCTGCATTTACGGTAACGGGGCCGGGCTGGCCAAGGCCGGGCAGCTGGGTCAGCTCCGCCAGCTCGCTGCGCTCTCAGGTGAGAGCACCCGCCCAGGACGTGCAGACGGTGCACAATGTCCCCTCGGGGCAGTGAGGGGCCGTGGCCCTCGGGTTGGACCCACCGCAGCCACGCCCCGCAGCCGGCACCCCGGGGTCCGAGTGCAGCGCAGCCTCGCGCGTCCGCTGGAGCCACGGTCTGACCCGGGGGGGGACCTGCCCGCGCCCCGCGCCCCGCACCCGGTGCCCTGAGCCCCAATGGGCCTGTGCTATAGCCTGCGACCGCTGCTCTTCGGGAGCTCGGGGGATGCACCCTGCACCGCGGACGATCCGCGCGCGGAGGACGCGCAGTCCAGCGCCGCCCCATCCCCAGCCTCGGCCCCGGTGCCAGCCCCGGCTCCAGCGGAGACCCTGCTCCGGCGAGGCGGCGGCCGGAACCCGGCGAGCGCTCGGCCGGTAGCAGAACTGCAGAGCCGGCGGCGACAGGAGCAGCTGCGCGCCGAGGAGCGGGAGGCGGCAAAGGAAGCGAGGAAAGTGAGCCGAGGCATCGACCGCATGCTGCGCGAGCAGAAGCGCGACCTGCAGCAGACGCACCGGCTCCTGCTGCTGGGTAAGTCCGCACCTCCGGCGCGGGAGCCGGGGATTCAAGCGAGGATTCGGGGATTCGCACCTGCCTTGGGGAATGTCAGGTGTGGACACTGCAAACAGAATGACTTTCACCCTGACATGTCAATGGCTCTGGCGCTCCTGGGTGGTTTCGCTCTCTTTTGTTGCCTTGTGACCCGGGGCCAGTGGCTCCCTGATTACTAATTAATGAGCCTCTCTGGGAAATTTCCGCCCTTGGTCCATTGATTTCCGTAGCGTGAACTCCACAGGGATGTCTTCATCCTAGTCCTCCATTTCCTGCCACAATCCAGGCAGCTTAGTTTGTTCTAAGAACACCAATAAAAGGAGACTTAGAAAGCCTTTTAGCTAGACCACAAAGCTTTTATCGTAAACAAATCTTAGAGCAGAGCTGGGATAGTTGTATGATGCTGGCTGATGAGAAACAGCATCGTTGTCCGTATCACACACTGTTATAGAAGCCGTACGGGTGCCATGCTGCTGTTCGCTCTTCTCAGAACCAGCATAAGAGAGGGGAAGGTCCTGCCTGTCTGTTCCCACCCTATGCCCCGCCCCCCGGCCTCAATATTTCCTCACCAACTGTAATAAAGTGGACATAAACCTGCAAGCATTTGGAGGTTCGCTGGTATTTTTCAGAGTTGAGTTTTAGCAAGAATAAGTATGCTCTTATTAACAACTGGAAAACATTTTCTGTGCAGTCAATTGTGCAAAGAAAGGGGAACTAAGTCATGAATTCCTGCATGTCTCTGTGCATGGTGTCTCTGTACACGCAGAAACCAGAGGAGGACATTGGGAATCCTGCTCCATCACCCTCCTCCTTAATCCTTTGAGGCAAAGTCTCTCGTCGAACCTGGACCTAGATTTGTAGCCACCAAACCTTGAGGTTGCAGGGTTTCGTGATGGTGGGATCCAAACTCAGCCCCTCGTACATGAGCATCAAGCACCATCTCTCCATCCCCTAAATCATGAAGTGTTTTGTTTTGTTTTGTTTTACAATTTTATTACGTGTATTTATTTGTGTGTGCGTTGGCACATACATGCCGCAGCATGTATGTGGAGGTCAGAGGACAACTTATGTCTCTTCTCTCCTACCAACTTGTGGGTCCCCAGGGGGAGGGAACTCGGGTTATTCGGGCTTGGCAAGGCCTGGCCCTGAATCAGGGAGAAAACTAAGATGTCAGAATTTGATCCAACTTTGTGAGCTATCAGGAGGAATAGCTGGCATCTGAGCTCAGCTGTGTATAGGGAGTTATGCCATGAGAAGAAAAAACTAGTTTAGAAATCAATGCCACTCTTAAAACCTGGAGAACAAATAATGAGATTAAACAGACCCACCCACTTTAAAAATGAATGGTTTAAAACAAAACTAGCTGCTATATCATCGTGAGATGTCTGAATTCTAAAACAAAGAGAACTTTCTCTTAAAACAAAAGACAAAATATAAACATGAGACTCCTACATTTTCTTCAGGTGACACATTCCCAAACCTCTATGGATAATGGAAATCATATATAGAAACCTTTCATCGTATGCTTTGCCCATGTATGCATACCTAGGATGAAGTTTATTATGTACATTGGGCACAATAAGAGAGTAACAACAACTAATCTGCGGCGAGCTCCTCGGCCAGCGAGGAAGAACGACCACCATGCAAGGATCCTTCTCAGAACACACTTTATTGGAGCGCCTCTTGATCAAGGGAGAGCGGGAGGTGAGGGGCCCCGAGGACTAAACTGCAGCTGCTTATAAAGGGAATCAGGCAAACGTGCCGTACTGTGATTGGGTCCCGCCAGAATGCAAGCATGGGGAGCCACGGGATAGGCTGAGGACATAAGGCCAATTACCATACTCGTGCATCATAGCCAAATATGGAGTTGTTTACAGCTAGGCTACCAGGAAGCCAGCGCCATCTTTGAATAGTGGCTCCCTACACTAATCGAATACTTAATGAATAATAACCTGTAATAAATGTCATATGAATGTGGTTTCTCGTATTGTGCTCTACCTGCCCTTCTTATGATGCCATGAGGTAATACAGAGTTTCAGCAATGAAACAGAGGTGAATGAAACTGGAGTTGCCATGTGTCTGGAATACTGGGGCATCATACGTGTTGTCTGTCTCCACAAAGGTGCATAAGCAGACACATGTACATTGCACTTCACTCAGATCTGAAATAGTCACTGGCAGGTCAGCACCTGGTCAAACCCAGGCCACAGTTGCTATAGAGAAGAAAACAGACAATTGTTCCTAGGTAGTCTTTAACATTCTTGGAATTAGTATGATAAGCATAACTCCCTTGTTATCACCCTTTCGCTTGTCTTTCATTATAATCTTTATGAACATCTGGGCTCACACTTCTTAAACCTCTAGGTCTGGTTAATGTCAGCTAGTGTCAACTCTCTGCACTCTTTAGAGCGAACAGGTCACTAATAGAGTATATCTGCAGATACCTTCCTATGATGCAGAATACGGCAAGTACCCTAAACCATCCTCACACCCCTATCAGTGACATATACTGTTATAAGAGTATCTTGAGGTACAGGTGCACAACCCCATATGGCATTCGGTGTAATAAATGCTGATTGCATCATGGGAAAAAAAAAAGAGTGAGTTGAAAACACCACCGTGGATCAAAACCAGATAACTAAGTGACCAGCCAGCAAGTAGCATATTACCGTGTGGATTCTCTCTACAAAGGGATGACATACCTCCTGGGCAGGATGGAGTGGTCAACACAAGGAAGGTTTCATTGTGTTAATTAGAAGGGCCATTGAAAACAGTTTATTTTTGAAATTTTTCATTTAATATTTTCTTTTTTAAAGATTGATTTATTCATGTATTTTATGTATATGAGTGATCTGTCTTCATGTGCACCAGGAGAAGGAATCGGATCCCATTATAGATAGTTGTAGGCCACCATGTGGTTCCTGGGAATTGAACTCAGGACCTCTGGAAGAGCAGTCGAGTGCTCTTAACCACTGAGCCATCTCTCCAGCCCCCATTTAATATTTTCTAACCACTGATAACCGTGGGTAACTTAAACTGTAGGCAAACACCAAATTGCAGATAGAGTTAACTACCATATACCAAAACCAAATATGATTGTTGCCTCAAAAGAGGATACCAAAAAAGCTTCAGACTTCTGCTCTCCAGCTCTCCAGTGCCAACTTCTAGAATATGGCAAGCAAATGTTTCTAGAGTCCTGGGGATATGAAATTATATTTTTAGAATCTCATGCCTATTTTGAATCATAGTTGAGGGCATGGGCATTAAATACATTTTTGAACAGCAAAATAAATATCAGCTGCTTCTAATGAATTTTGAAGGACTTTACTCTAAAAAACATTGTCTGATAGCCTAATACAGCTTGCTTATTAGCTCATATTTGAAATAACAAGAGCTCAAAGTTCACACATATTTTCAGTTTGTTTAATGGATCAAATTTTAAAAGCTCAAAGTGGGGGAGAATTATGGTCTCAAGAAATAGGTTAAAGGTAAGGTCATGAGTTATGATTAACAAGTTTTTTCTCTTTTAATGTATTTTATCTGTATGGTGTTTTGTCTGCTTGTATGTCTATGCACCATGTGCATCCATTACCCTTGGAGGCAAGAAGATGGATGACATCAGATACTTTGGGACTGGATGACAGACAGCTATGAGCTCCCGTGTGGGTGCTGGGACTCAATCTCAGGTCCTCTAGAGGAACACCAAATTCCTTTAACCACTGAGCTATCTCTCCAGCCCCTAACAGAAGGTTTTTCAGTGTGACTGACTAGTCAAACTCCTAAAATAATAGAGGTGGGGCTTACTATTTGCAAGGCTTTGGGTTCAGTCCCAGAAGCACCACCATCAGAAATATATGAAGCAAAAAAGGCTTGATTTGTGATACATTGTGAAGGATGATTCTGTAGAGAAAAGTGGGAGATGGTCTCTGAACAATTCTGCTGGGCTCTAAAGCATAAATTTCTTTAAGCACATTTTTATGGTTATTTTCTTTAAAGACTACCTCATAGCCTAATGTGGTTTTTATATCAACATCTAATCTGAGTGGCATTAGCTCAAATGACTCACTTTGTGGAGTACATTTCGTCTTCCACCCAATGTTATCAGCAAGAAAACCTGGGTCTAAGATTAGTTCAGTGGTAGCAGGCACTGGTCCTGGGTCCCCAGCACCATCTTGAAAAACTAGCAAATCACAATAATAATAATTTTTTTAAAAAAGCCTGTTACATCAGGCTGAAAAATGTTTTATATGTTTTAGTAGATTTGAGTTAAATATGGAAAGGTTCCTGGCATTTGTTACCATGTAGAATGGGCTTGACTGGAAGTTTTGGCTCAGACTTGTAGGCCCTTGATCTCAGAGGTCTGCTTCCGTTACTCCTTCATTTGCTGGTGAGTCTTTGCTCTTACTTGCCCACTGCTTCATTGATCCTAGACAGGTGCATTGAGAGCCCGGCATTGGGGACAGAGTTCACAGACTCAGGGCAGGCCTGCTTGCTCCAGTGCCCCTCTGGCCTGGTCCATTATGTTGAGGATGCTCTCATCCCCACCCACAATAACTGCTCAGGCCAGGATGTCATCCCAAGGTCCAGCTCTACCATAAGGTTGATCAGATTCCTTGACTCTCTTCCATACAGCCCTCAGCAAGGCTCCCCAGCAACAGCACAAACATCAAAGTATCCTTGGAACTGTGAGGACCTCTTGGTTGGAGGGGGTGTGGCCCTGTTTTTAACCTTAGGGGGCACATTTTTCAGGAATACATGGTATTACTGGGTTCAGGGATGGTATGTGGATGTGATGGAGTCAAATTTGTTTTGTTTTGTTTTATTTTTTTCTTTAAGAAATTTTTTTTTACTCATTTTACATACCAATCAATCCCCCTCTCATCCCTTCCCCCCAGTCTCCTCCCTCGCAACCTACCCCCATCCTCTCCTCCAAAAGGGTAAGGCCTGATGGAGTTCAATTTGAACAGCATGGTAGGACC